TATGAGGGCCCGGTACGACGCTCCGGTGGTATTGCTACCCCCAGGGCCCCCGTCCCGCCTAATCCTTTAGCGTTTCACCACGAGATCTAGCCCTTTGACTTCCCACGGATGGGCTTTGACTAGTGGACCTCTCCACCCGGTTGTGTCGGGTCGGCCGAGAGGGACACCGGGGAGCAACATCCGGGCCAAACCCACATCTAAATCCACTCCGTGTAGACCCGACGCGTCCGTTTCCCCCTTCCAAGTTCGGGCGGCAGCGCCGTCCGTGAGGGAGGACACGCACCGGAGACGCGTACCGCCTCTTCGGACATGCCACAACACCACCCGGTTGTCAACACGTACTATATGTAAGTTAGTCAAATAATAATATTTAAGAAAACATAAAATATAGCTATGAAAAAAAAGAAAAAAATAACAAGTGGAGGGGGTGACCGGGAAGTGGATAAGGGAACTATGATAAAAAGATCGATGACGTGGTAAAAAAACTATGAAAAAAATATAGATATGAAAAAAAGAAAAAAAAAGAAAAAAAGGAAAAAAGAAAAAAAAAACTATGCCGACGGCAAAGCCGTCGGCATAGCTGCGGCATAGGGCAGATGGCCGGCGCGCTGCGGATCGATGATGTGGCATCTATGCCGACGGCAGCCGTCGGCATAGGTGGTGGTCGGTGCGCCTCGGATCGATGACGTGGTAAGGGCATCTATGCCGACGGCCTCCCCCCTCGGCCGTCGGCATAGATCGGACGTCGTTAGCCGCACGGCACGGCAGGATCGCCGGGCCCGCAACTATGCCGACGGCCAAGATATGTCGACGGCCGCTGTAGGCGTAAGTTTGGGTATGCGACGGCCTTTCTGGGCCGACGGTGGCCGTCGGCATATGTCTGGATAGCCCGACGGCTTTATTACGCCGACGGCCTGGATATGGCTGTCGGCATAGCCCTGACAAGGCTGACGGTGGCCGTCGGCATAGATATGGCCGTCGGCATAGGGCCCTATTCCGGTAGTGATGCCCATATTTGATAGGCAGGATGAAGAAGATGATTTCGTAGGGGTAGATGTCAGCTCTAGAAAAGAGATTGCAAGTATTGGAAGTTTGATTAATCGGTCTCTAGCAAATGAAAGATTTCTGATCATTTTTCATTATGGAGGAGATGAAGACATTGATCTGATAGAGTGTGGCATTCCTGCTTTTGGTAAAGGTAAATTGGTATGGACCAATGGTGGAAGATTTTTTCAGGTCAAAGTCAAACCGGGAGAAGTCAAGTTGTCCGCTTTTGCTAATTTTGTAGTTACCTTGGAGTCCCTTTGGTATGGAGATCCAGATTACAGCACAAAAATCCATCATATATTGCACGAAGTTGCTATTAGAGTGATTGGTGACACCGGTATGGATGGCATCAACCCAGAAACAGTTTTGGATTGCTTCTTGTACTCATTGTTCCTGACAGCACAGTTACCTCAAAACTCTACTGGTGTTGGCTATGGTTGGGCTACTCATGCTTGCAATTATTGGATTTGTGATGGAATGCGTGGAGAGGACAAGGCTTGGGAGATTGGCTATATGTTGTATGGAGTGATACCATTGGACGAATGTTCTTCATCTGAAACGGCACAAAGAAGATATTTGGCACACTTTCTGCCTAGGCTGGGTAAAGGCTGGTATTCAGTCACCTCCAATAATGGAGGAACAAATCATATATCTAATGTTCCTGCTGATGCATCATCATATTTCCTAACATTCCACGGTAATGATCCAGTATATGTATGTAATGATCTGTTTCAGCTAGCCAGCAACAACCTTCGTGTGCTAAAACTCTGCAACTGCAGCTTCGATTTTGCATCCCCTCCTTTCCAGTGCTGCAGCAACCTAAGATTCCTTTGGCTTGAACATTGTGCAAACACATGGAAGGAGCAAAGTGGGGCGCCAATTTTTCCGAACCTGCTGGTGTTTGACTTACGTTTCACAGATTATGTTTTGCTGCCTCAGATGATTGAACTGATGACCAATCTCAGGGAGCTAAATACAAAGGGAATACCATGGAAGACTATCAGTGCTATTTGGAAAAAGTTGAAGAAGCTTCAGAAGCTCCGATTAACAGAATCTTCAGATGTGGTCGCGGTGGACAGATGCTCTTCTGTAGATATGATGAACCTGGAGCTCCTTGACTTGTCCGGAAACACTCACCTGGAATCATTGCCAACATTGTCATCCGCAAGAAGCCTGAAGATTCTTGTTCTTGACGGATGTTCCAGCTTGGACCAGGTTGCACTTGCCGTGGAAAGAGCTCCTCCACTGCTTGAAAGTTTTTGCTCCGATGGTTATGGCCCAGCAAAGGATTGGACACATTCCATACACCTGCCACAAAAGGAATTGCGCCTCAAGTCTCCTTTAGCTCCAGTTGAAATAGTCAAGGTGACAAAGATCTCCCTACATGGTTGTGGTCGATTGCAAAACATATTCCTGCGTGCACTGCCCAATCTGGAGGAACTAGACCTCTCTGGTACAGCCATTAAAATAATTGACCTCGATGCAATGGATGTCCCGAAACTCAAGAAGTTGTTCCTATTGGGTTGTGAGCGGCTCTGTAGCCTAATCTGGCAAGGATCACCTAGACTGGAAGTTCTGCATGTGGACACTCAAGGGACGAAAAGATCAATGGTCTGCTGTGGAGAACAGGGATCCTTTGGCTTTCAGGAACATGTTGTTTTTACGGATGGAAGGTTCATTTGGTCATTCTCAGATGGGCTCCATAGCCGATCAGAAAATTCTGTCTCCAAGATGTACCTCCTTATCTCTTGTACAAGCCGTAGCCAAGCCAACATCACCAAAAGTATCAAGGAGATGTGGATCTAACCGACGGGGTTTGGTTCCAACAAGCCGGTTATTACCGTATAATGATATTGCCATGGCTAAGGATGTTACATGCTCGCTGTTGGTGTGGAACTGTCGACAGCTCCAAACTTTGAACGTGCACATCGAGATTGGTAAAGGAAGCTATAATTTAGAGTATGCAAGATGAAGGGTATTTTGGACATTTCGCAAAATATATTGAATCATTGCATGTGCATGACAATTGCTCCATCACTACTATCCCCCCAATGTATTGGTCACATTGGCAGAGACTAAAATGATGTCATGTTGAGAGGTGCCCCAAGCCTCAGGGATTGCTGGGGTCTCAGGCGCCTTCCGGCTGTAGCACGTGAAGGCCCTAAGCCAGTGGTAGACTGCAAGAAGGACTTGTGGGACAGCCTCGGGTGGGATGGCCTGGATGCCAGACATCACCCGTCGCTCTTCGAGACGCACCACTCGGCCTACTACAAGAAGACCCTCCCGTGGGGCTCCTATCTAAGGTCCGTCGCACATTGATTCCAAATATCCATATGCATAAGTACTCAAGTTCATTTGAAGGACGAATTTCATTAGCTAAGTTGTAATGTCTCTGTTTTCGTTCTTCATTTCTCAGGTAATCTGCTTTTGTGCTGACATGGCGTGTGTTGCTCCACTGTGCGAGGAGGTTTTCTCACGGCTCTGTCTCCAACTGCATGTGTGTTTGCTAATTGAGTGTGTTTTGTGCCGCTGTTGCTGCTTGCACGGTGAATAAAGGGTGTGTTTCTTTTTCACCGAGTTGCCTTCATCTTGGCATTTGGAGTGGATTGGATTGGTGTGCTGTGCTGCTATTTGGAGTGCTGGCTTTCCACAGCTTAGTGTGGTGTTCACAACCAGGCTGATTTGATGTTGGTTTGATGACTGTTTGTAATAAGAGGGTGTGTGCGCATTGGTGCGCATCAACCGAGCGTGGTGTGTGACTGACGATCCTTAAATTCAGCTTGGCTTGATGTATGTTTGGCTGATGAAACAACATATCTTATATTATTGTGATGAGTTGTTATGTGATTTGTATGAGTTTTGATTGGTTCTTGCCTACTACTTCCTCCGTTCCTAAATACTACTACTTCCTCCGTTCCTAAATACTCCCTCCGTCCCAAAATTCTTGTCTTACACTTGTCTAGATACAGATGTACCAAGTCATGTTTTAGTATTAGATACATCCGTATCTAGACAATTCTAAGACAAGAATTTTGGGACGGAGAGAGTATAAGTCTTTTTAGAGATTCCAATATGGCCTACATACAGAGCAAAATGAGTGAATCTACACTTTAAAATATGTCTATATACATCCATATGTAGTTCGTATTGAAATCTCTAAAAGGGCTTATATTTAGAAACGGAGGGAGTATAATATATGTTGAGCTAACAATCCTGTCCTTTGAGCTAGTACTCCATCCGGTCCTTTTTAGTCTGCATATTAGAATTCTCTGAAGTCAACCGTATTTATATGGAAAAATATCAATATCTGTCATGCTAAAGTTATATAATATGAAACTTTAAGCCATGACACATCTAGTGGTATTGATTTCAGATTGTAAATGTTGGCACTTTTTTCTACAAAGTTGGTCAAACTTTACGAGGCTTGACTTCAGTCAAATCTTATATGCGAACTAAAAAGGACCGGAGGGAGTATATATGTTGAAGATATGAAACCGAAATCGATGTTTACATACCTGTAAATAAGAAGATAGCTAGAATCCTTCACCAAAAGTAGCATATTCTTAAGTTTGGATTTGTCTTCAGCTATGGTAGTCGCCTCCTTGGGTTGTGAAAACACAATACACCCTAACAAATGTTATTGCCCAAGAGGTTGTCTGCATAAACATGTCATAGTTTACAGAAATCCAGTGCATAATGTTTTTATTGGCAAATAAAACGAAATAAAATACATGCTTCACCAAGATTACCTCTTGAGTAAAACGTCATCATAGTTGTCATCCATTATGTGGAGGACACACGGTTGATTCGGACTCAGTGGCGGAGGCACGGGGGGCCAGCCAGGGTCCGGGCCCTCCCCAACATCCTAATTTCCTTGGTAATGTGCATATGAACAGTGACATCTTTTTATTGTTATATGCAGTCGGCCCTCCCTAACGTCCAATTATATGCATTCCTGTCTCCGCCACTGGAATGATTCGGTTGATGTATATTCTGAGATAACCTTATTAGTTTGCAGAAAGTTAGGGGCCATGATGGCACAAGCATTTAAACAGCCGATACAAAATCACAGAAAACAACGCACAAGCATTTTCCTAGTAGTCAAGCAAAGAGCAGCCTTTTCCCAAGAAAATAAAGAGAATTAGCTTCCAAATACCGCTGATAAATGAAACACACTGATCAGTTATTACTGCAGTTTCCAACGTATATATTGCATTTGCTGTTTGAGTTGTTACTTTTTTTCTTTCCCATATTTCTCGTTGAGTCAACTCAGCCAAATGCTAAACCTTTTTACAGAAAAATGGAAACAGATGCTTCATGTGTAGTACTCCCTCCGTCCGAAAAAACTTGCCTCACATTTGTTCCTCAAATATATGTATCTAGCATTAATTTGATGTTAGATACATCCATTTAAGGGACAAGTTTTTTCCGACGGAGGTAGTATAATTTATGCACAAATTGCTACCGGGAACCGTTATGCACAAATTGCTAGTAAGGCAGTGGTTGCTTGGCTGCTCATTACAACTAGTTTCACTTGACCAAAATGATAACAGAGAGATAATAGCAACCAGTTTAGAAAACATTGTAATAAGAATGGTAACTAGTTTGAAGAAAATTGTAGATAAGAATCGAACTAGGTTCAAGAACATCATAAACAAAGACACATTTAAAAATAAATTGGGGAAAGCAGTGCCAAAGCAGTACTGCAGTAGTGATCTAAATATAAGATAGTTTAGATCACTGATTTTATATTTCTTTATAAAGGGAGTATCAAGTTTTTCTAACAGATATTTCTCAGAGATTGTGGAACCCTTTTGTTTCTCGGAAACATGGTACTCAGCTCTTAGAGAAACATTCATCTCATTTCCCGCTGGAAACAACTTTACAGTTGGCTCTTCTTCTTCTTCTTCTTCTTCTTCTTCTTCTTCTTCTTCTTCTGTTGACTAGCTTTAGGTTTATTCTAATCCCTATTTCCCAGGCGCACACTACTCGTGTTTTTTCAGTCAGCTAATTGGTAATGAGTAACGTACAACCCCCTCCCCAAAACACATCAACGGAGGAGATCTGTCCATACCCCTTCATAATAAAGGGTATGATAGTCTTTTTTTCAAAATACGCCAGCGACAATTATTCCTTTCGAGACAGCCCGCGAAAATAAACAGCGGCTAACAGTATCCTGGGCCGGCCCAACAGCAAGTCGTCTATCTGAAATGGAGATCTCTCCATACCCCTTCATAATAAAGGGTATGATGATCTTTTTTTCAAAATACACCAGCGACATTTTTTTGAGACAACCCGTGAAAATAAACAGCGGCTAACAGTGTGCATGCGACAGGTATTGATATCCTAAAAAAATGTAAATGCAACAGGTATTGAACAAAGGACCTTGCACTCTCAAGGAAATAACCAACCACTACACTGACCCAACTATAATGACAAAGGAGCAGCGCGGTGTGTTAAGACTATTAACAGCGACATAGCTGAACAATTTTTTAGCATTTTGAACTTGACTTTTTTGAACGCAAAAGAATTTCAAAATTGATTTTTTAACATGCATACAAATTTTTCGAAAACTAGAACAGATTTCAAACTCTGAATAAATTTTTAAAACCGAGATTTTTTTAAAAAAAAATCTGAATAATATTTGAAAACACAAAAAAAATTAAAATCTGATTTTTTTTTCTGAAAATGCGACCATTTTTTGATATTTTCAAACTTTTTTGAAAAATATGAATAAATAAATAATATGCTGCACATTTTGTAACATTGCGATTTTCAAAAAAAAAAAGAGTAACCTTCTAAAAGGTTCCAACTGGGAAACCGGCCTGGTATCAATAGTTAGGGAATTCTTTTCAAATCATAGTTCTCGCCACCCTTTGTGCCATCAGGTGTGTGCACGTCATCGTAAGGGAATATTTTTTAGGAAATCTATCATCGCACGTCATCATAAGGGGAATCTTTTTTAGGAAATCTATCAACGAAAATCCATCTCTGTACCTGAGCTCATCTGCACCCCTGCTGACGAAAAAAATCAAAACAAATACTAGAAAAATTCATAAAATTCCAAAAAAATGTGCGGTAGAAATTTTGATGCGTGAGGTCCCCTCCAATTTTTAAATCATTTGGACATCTGAGGATCTCTCAGCAAAAAAGACAAATTGAGGGTCTGTAAAAATGTTTAGTGTTCATGTACTGTTTTGGCCCGATTTGTCTTTTTTGCTGAGAGCTGCTCAGATATCCAAATGACTTGAAATTTGTAGCGGGCCTCACACATCAAATTTTCTACCACACAAAAAAATTTGGAAGTTTTTGAATTTCTTTCTATTTTTTTACGAATTTTTTTCTAACCGGGTGCAGATGAGTCTGGGCACCGAAATGCCCTACTCATCTATCAACACATTCTCTTCATAATTTTATTTCATGTTACTGGGTTTGTATGACACACCGGCTCTATTCAATTTCTTTATTACTCTCTACGTTGTTGAATGTGTAAAAAAGTGCTATGGGACAGACTCATCCGACTTAATCGAAACCTCTATGTTGTACATGACGTACTTGTGGACTTTCATTAAATATACTCAAATTTTGCAGGCAAATGGGCATTGTCATCCTAGCACTCCATGCAAAATTTGAATGAATTCAGACACCAAACACACGTTGGGTCACGTCCGATCAGTATTTTAGGGATTATTCACCGGGAAAACCCTAGAAAATATGTGAAATGTCAAAAATAGATGAAACTTGGTTTGGATGCTTTCCATGAAGATAGAATGATGTAGAAAAAATTTGGGTCCATTTGATGAATATGTAAAATAAAAGTGCTATGGGACGGACTCTTCCGACTTAACCGAAACCCCTACGTTGTACATGATGTACTTGTGGACTTTCATAATATATACCCAAATTTTTTAGGTTGATGGGCATGGTCATCCTAGTACTCCACACAAAATTTGGACGGATTTATACACAACACACATGTTGTGTCACGTCCGGTCAGTATTTTAGGGATTTTTCACATAGAAAACTATAGAAATTGCATGAAGTCTAGAAAATGGATGAAATATGGCATGGACGCTTGCCATGATGATAGTATTCAATGGGAAAAATTTGGGTCCATTTCTTGAATATGTAAAAAAAATGCTACGGGACGGACTCTTCCAACATAACCAAAACCCTTTGTTGTATATGATGTACTCGTGGACTTTAATAAAATATACCCAAATTTTGCAGGTAGCTGGGAGGAAATGGCTATTTTCTTCTCTTTCGTCTTTCCTCTCGCTCGGACATAGATTGTTCGCACGAGTTTTTGGAAAAAATCACAGGTTTTAGAAAAAGTTTGTAAAATTTGAGACAGGTTCGTGGATCTGAAAATCGTTCATGTATTTGAAAAAAAAAAGTGATTTGAGAAAAAGTTCACAAG